AGTACCCGTCGGGCATTTTCAGCGCGAAAATAAAGTGCCCCAAAGGGGATATCAGCGGCTTGGTGCAATCATATTATGTAAGTTCTGTTCGAGCTTTTTCCATTTATCCTCGTTATAAGGCGGTCGGCGACACGCACGTGAGACTGCAGATGCTGATTCCTCTCGATGCCCCCTTCCGACCTTCAAGTTCCCTTTGCCACGCTTCATTTGACGCGTTTTCGGAGTTCTAAGGTTCTCCCTCCAACCCTCCCTGCTCCAATCCTCACCCCCTCCCGCTGACGTCACTCTCGCGCCTTGCAGTTATCCTCGTTAGAAGGCAGCCACGATCAGGACGAGATCGACTTCGAGTTCCTGGGAAAGGACAAGACGCAGGTGCAGACGAACTACTACGTGAACGGCGAGGGCGGGCGGGAGGTTCTGATCCCGTTAGGGTTCGACTGCTCGTCGGACTTTCACGACTACACCATGTTCTGGAACGAAAATCAGATTGTGTAAGTGGATATCGAGTCGACTCTAAAAGAGGAGACGTTTGAGTCGACTTGTCGCCTCGACTGCTCGTTAGACTTTCACGACTACTCCATTTTCTAAAACGAGGGTCAAATTGTGTCAGTGGGTGGCGACAAATGTGTGACCTTCTTTTCTCTAGTCTTCGCTGTTCACTCAACCCCAACATCCCCCTCTTCCTCTTTCCATATGACCATCCCCTCCCCAATTTTATGAAGCCGCTTTTGGGAATTGTCAAGAGCCATCCATCCTCTCCTGCTCAGTGAAATGTCTTGCTTTCTCTGGCCCCTAAACGCGTGATTCTGCAACCCCTTCGTCCTCTGCTTTTCACCCTCTCTCCTCCCCAGACAGCAGATTGACCGCAAGGTGGTGTGCGGGGCGGGGCCAAGCACAAGGAGGGGTAGCGCGTACCCGCAAGGTGTTGAAGCTTGAATCACTCTTGTTCCGCTTGTTTCCTCACACTCTCTCTCCCTCTCCTCTCCAGCTGGCAGATTGACGGCAAGGTGGTGCGTGTGTCGAATAGCAAGGATGGAGAGCCATACCCAGTGGAGCCCATGTGTGCGCATGCCAGCTGAGAAGGGAGACGAAGCCTTTACCATTCTTGTTCTGCTTTCTTTCTCCTCCCCCCCACCCCCCCTTCCCAAATTTCTGCGCACCAGTTGGCAGATTGACGGCAAGGTGGTGCGTGTGGCGAAGAACAAGGATGGAGAGCCGTACCCAGTGAAGCCCATGTATGTGTATGCTTCCATCTGGGATGCGAGCTATGTGCTCGACGGGCGATGGTCCGGCGACTGGCGTGGCTGGAACGAGCCTTACATTGGGTGAGTGCAATTCTTAGTATACTCAACTCATCCCGTGTATGCATCCATTTGGGTTGCGAGCTATGTGCTCGACGGGGGATGGTCTGGCGACTGGCGTGGCTGGAACGAACCCTACACCGGGTGAGTAATACTAAGGATTCACACAAATGCTATTTTATCTACCTGTAGCATGACTCACTGGTACTAGAAGCGCATTTTCATTCACTTTTCTTGTGGCCTCAGCATAGTTCATAGTCTTCGCATTTCCATGGCAGTGACACAAACACGGGCATACTATCCTATCCTATCTCAAACCATGTCTCTCTCCTCTACTCGTATGCTTTGCCGAATCTGCCCACAGCGAGTATGAGGACTTGAAGGTGGTCTCCCCCGCACCCGATGTCTCCTGGTAGCACACAAGGCATTGGAGTGACTTTCAAAAGGGAAGGGGGGGAGGAAGGAAGGCGGACACGGCCAACCGGAACAGTACATGTGCTTTTACCACATAGTATAGTACATAGAGTGCAGCGAATAAAGAGGAGCCACAGCCTGGGGCAACGTATGGGGAAACAAAAAGGGCAGCTGCAACCACTGGAAGTTTTGAGACATCTCAAAAGCGATGGACGGTGGTGGAGCAGGGATAGTGTGGAACCAGGGTTTCAGGCATCCTCTCCGAAAGCTAGGTGCTAGGCATATGCATTAAGGATACAGTATTCGTACCACTGCAGAAAAGGTAGTCTAGCTGTGTTGAAGCTTACTGGTACCTTGCTGCTGCTAGTGCGAGCTTAGTGGTACCAAGCTAGGAGGATTACACTCCTGGTGACAACGATGCTACAGGTTATAGCATAACCTGGTTGAGTCCCGAGGCTGCATAGAATGGTAGGAAGGGGGTGTGCTGTTTTTAGCACCTAACGTTGTGCACTTGTTTGCACCCACACCCTCTTGTATGCTGAATTGATGCTAAAGTTCGCAGTGAATGGCTTTATTTGTGTTGCAAAGAAACAAGTCTTTGTTTACATAACACTTGCAACTTCATATGATTTGCTTCAGTCTTTAGCAAGGCTTCAATATCCATTCAAGCATTTGATAGTTCTTCTAGATCCTCTAGTGAGAAATGTGTTTCTAACGAGTCATGCACAAATGTGGATTTAAGCCAGTGCCAGGAACCTGAACACCCGAAACCAGGAACTGTTTGTTTCGCACGCGATATTGAAGTACACTTCACTAGCAGTTGTCTGCCCAGAAACATCTCTAGACCAGACCACAAAACACCCTTGGTTTTGGTCCAGCTCATGTACTGTACTTCACCACCACCCCAAACCTGCACCACTCAAATCATTGCGAGAATTCACTTCGAATCGAGTGGTTGACAATTCCCTAGGGAGGAAGCACATCACTGATGGAGAGGTTGGAGACAACAAGAGAACCACGTACCGTACTTCAACGTTCTGTAAACTTCAATACCTGTTCAGATAGCTCTATTTTGGAGTGTCTGTGCCATTCATGAGTGACAGGAACAGAGGGGATGGATTACAGAATACAGTATACACGAAGACTGGCAGACATATTCGTCCCCCCAATGCTTGAAGTGTTGACAAAGCTCCACCTACCTCAGCCAGCCTTAGTTGTTCCTTGATGATTCCTTGCTGGTTGTCTCAGCGTGGTCGTGAGTGTCAGCCTTGGTGAATGTGCTGCCTAGGGGGGGTATGTTATTCACCTTTCGCCACTGCGCTGACCTTCCCAACGTTTTTCTCGTCGTGTGCGACGGAGACTCGTCATTGGCGGGTAAAACCGTCCGTCAACGTTTTTAGCTGGCCACGGATACAAAACTGACATAATCGTCGACTTTCAAACGCATTCGGCCACGGATTTTAAGCTCGTTTTTACTGCTTATTGCAAATTCATCCCAACAGTCTCTAACTGGCGGTACTCGGAACACGTTTCTGGCAAGTTGATAAGTGTGAGCACTAGGGGCGACGCGTCAATGATTTTCGCAACCGCGTGGCTCAATAGTGACCCTTTTGTTTCAAACAGTACACTCGCCAGGCGCCTTTCGTCCCACAGATATACGCGCTTTATTCCGGGTTGCGTCTGCTGAGTCCTCCGATGTCGTGCGATGAACTGTTACGATTAAATCGTAGTCATCCGGCAGTTTCGGAAATTGTTTATCGCGTTCCGGCGGCGGCAGATTAGAGCGCCTATAATCCGAAGTTAATTAGTGTAATTTATAGTGCATATAATGGTGCAGCCTTAGGCAAACAACGATCAGATACTATAATCGTCTCTTCCCGCCAGTCAAATACATATACCCGCTAGAAGCAGAGCGGAATTTGCGGATCCTAACGGGGAGTTGGCAGCATGGCGAAGGTTGCAGATCTTATCATGGGTCTCGGCATTTCCCACGGCACTGATTTGTTACTCGCCCACAGCCCGTTCAGCGAATTCGACGAACTCCTTCGCAAAACGCTGACGAAGGTCCCTCACAACATGCAATGGTTCTCTTGGGTATGTCAGCTCGCCTGTTTCTCGCCTTGTCGATCGCCTTGTTTCTCTCCTTGTTTCCATGACGCACCGTCTGATTCCATTCGTTTCGAATTCTCATAGGCAGCTCCTGTAATTACACTCATCCCCACCTTCATCCTCGCGTTTTAACCCAATCGCGCTGGTCCTTGCTTTTTGCTACTTTCTTCTCAATATGCATGTCCCTTCCGCTGGTCCTTGATTTCTGTTGCCTGTTTAGTTACATTAAAGCGTTTACACGTCTGTACACATAAGTTACTTCTCTAATTATGGTCAGAGGTGTTTATATACCACCTAATTATGCATCCCTTTCAAATTTCTGATCTTACGGAACCACACACGGCTTACAGACTTGGGAAATATAATAGTCGCAATTCCCCATTCCCTTTTCCCCGACCTCCACCCACCCCTCTCCGCCCGCCCTTCACCCCTCTCTCCAATTTCCCCGTTCCTCCCACCCCTCTTCCCCCCCTCTACCCCTGCTCCCCATTCCCCCTTTCCTACCAACCACCTTCCCTTCCATGTCTGCAGGGCTTTGACCAAGTGAGGTTCCTATTTCTCCGAAGATACATATTCCGCATACGACTGCTTCGCTATGTCCAAAACTCTTTTTGCACTTGGTCCTTCTCCTTCCCCTCCCTTCCCCTCCCCCCTCCACTTCTCTTCCTCCTCCTCCTTTTCCTACCAACCACCCTTTCGTTCCATGTCTGCAGGGCTTTGACCAAGTGATGTTTCTATTCCACATCCATCAAGAATACATATTCTCCAATGCCGCATACGAGAGCTTCACATTGCACTTGCCCCCTGCACCCCTTTCCCACCCCCTACTTCCCCTTTTCCTCTCCACGTCTGAAGGGCTTTGACCAAGTGATGTTCTTATTCCACATCTACCAAGGTTACATATTCTCCATAGCCGCATACGAGTGCTTCACTCGCAAAGAAGCGCGCAGCAAACTCACAGCCCTCCGAAACCTCTTCCTATCCTCCGCCTCCACCCCCTCCCCCCCCACAAAACCTTCCGACCTGCCCGAAGCTGCCCGCGAAACCCTCGAAACGACCATGAAATCATGGGTGGTGAACTCTCGAGGGGTGGTCCCGGCGCGACTCATCCTCATCCTCCATCCAGGTGCCCCTAAAAAGTTTTTGACCAAGGAAGATCAGGCTCCGGATTTCGTGATGGCAGCCGAAGGCAGCGGCACGGCCCGGCTGAAAAGCGCTCTGGAGGAAATCGATGAAAACGATGACGATTTCGTGTTCACCATTCGCAAGCCCGGGACCGGGAACAACGGGACTGGCGACGATGACGATGGGGAGGATTTCGTGTTCAACATCCCCAAGAAGATCGTTCAGGCAGTTGCTGCGCCGATCATCTTCACCAGCCCGCATCCCAGGCAGACTCCTGGGTTCGGCCAGGGCCCGACTGGAGCTAGTGGGAACAGCGGGAGCAGCAACCGGGTTCCCTCGGGACAACAGTCAGGGCGAAAGAGCCCTGCCATGTCTGGCGCTAAGGTTTCCCCCGACGATGCAGCCGCAGCAGGAGGGGGAGAGGGAGGAGGCGAGGGAAACCCGGCCCAGAGCGGGCTGATAGCCCGAGCCAGAGCAGCGTGGTCTGTGCAGGTGGGGCGGTCGGGAGGGAAGGATGGCGGGGGGACGTGGGAGGGGGAGAAGATCCGGGGGCAGGTGGGGAATCTGGCCCCGTCGGGGCTGACCTGGGAGGAGGAGATTGCGTCGCAGCTGGCGTCGGTAGGGGTGCTGGTGGGGCCGGCGAAAGCCCAGGCCATGGCTGCTGCTGCCGCTGCTGGTGGAGGAGGTGGATCTGGTAGTGCTGCTGCTGCTGGTGGCGGGTCCGGAGGAGCGGGTGCAGGAGGAGGAGGAGGAGCGGCAGGGGGAGGGGCAGCAGGAGCAGGAGAAGGGGGAGGAGGGGGAGGAGCAGCAGCAGGAGGTGCGACGACGCCTAGGAGCAGGCTGAACCAGCCGCCGATCGATCATGCACGGTCCTTTTCAACTGTGGGATCCGGGTCAGGGTTTGGCATGCAGGGGTCGCGGCTGAGGGACCGGGTGTATGTGGGCATGCCCGCACAGGCGGCTGGGAGGATTTTTGCCCGCAACACGTCCATGCCCAATGGCGGGCGGCCAGCTGGCGGCGCGATTGGAGCTGGCCTAGGCGGGGGCCTGGGGCGGCTGGCTCGGGGGCTGAAGAAGACTTTCAACCTGCAGAGCAGTCATGACAAGCTGATTGGGTGAGGTGTTGGGGGGATTGGTGCCTCATAGGTTTATGAAGGAAAAACATGTTGGGGTTTGGGAGGCTAGCAAGGTGGCTGAAGAGGACTTATAACCTGCAGAGAAGACATGTAAAACTGATTGGGTGACTTCAATAAGATTTTGGAGAGAGGTGGTGGGACGAGTACGTTCAGGTTTTTTTTTGGCGGCTCTGGGAATTTAGCAAGGGTTGGAGGTGGGCATGGAAGCTGGAAAGTATTTTGAGGGGCCTGTTGGCAGGGTTTGCTCTAAGAAGCCATGATAAGGTGATTGGGTGGTTTGCAGAGGAGATGTCTTGAGGCGGTGCAGAGGTTTGGGCAAGGGTTGGTGGTGGGCATGGAAGCTTGGGAGGCTGGTGAGGAAGCTGTTGGCAGCATACGCTCTGCAGGAAGAGCATGATAAGGCTGAGTGGTTTTTTGGAGAGGTGATGCCTCGAGGCAGCACAGGAGCAGCGAATTCAGACTATGGTTTGGGGCTTGGTTAAGATGTTTAGAGTTAGACTACCAAGTCGAAGACTCGTATGAAGCTTAATGGGCCAGCCAATCAGCTGAGGTGGTGGTAGCTGCTGCTTAGTCTGATTGTTTTCCTTTGATTTGCTGATGCGGCACATGCCTAATGTGCTTGGTCAGTGGAACTTGCTGCGAGGGGGGAGGAGGGAAGGAGGGGACGAGGCGTGGGAAGGACGTTGTTTGTGCTTGTGCCGGCTGGTAGAGAGCGTTGACAGACATCAGTGTTTGAGTAGGCAGCAGCAGCAGCAGCAACAGTGGCAGCTGCAACACAAATGCTGGCACAAAGATGAGTTGGTTGGTCTGGCAGTGTTTGGAATATCATATGTGATGGTACCGTACTACCAACCAGGTAGAAAATCAGCCAGCCACACAGATTGGTGCATTTTGACTGTCACCTCAAATATTTGTTGCTACATAAATAAAGCCTAAAACACATTTGATATCATAAAGTACGTTTGGCAGGGAGACTGGACTTTAGACAGGTTGAACTGACTGAGGGGGATATTAGTGTTTCTCAAGTGGTTGGTTCTGTTGGATTTGTATGTTAGTATTCTACACCGAACCCATATTCATAACGGAAACTATATTCCAGATCCATACTTTCAGATTTCTCTCAAATTTAGCCCCAGGTTTACTCAAAAAGTACCACTTTCTAGAATTTCGCTCACGCGAGGCCCAAAGTATGTTCAAAACTGGTCCTGCGGGGCGAAGTTTTCGACACGTGTCCAAATTCGCTTGGAATTTTTTTCGAAGGAGCAAAAAATAATAAAACCCCTCGGGGACTAGGGCGCATTTGCGGGAGGGATCAACCCTAAACACCAAGCGGGTCCCCGTGTTTAGGGTTGGTCGCTCCCGAACGTGTGTCCTGGTTCCCCTAGGGGTTTTATGTTTTTTGCCCCCGTCAGAAACTGCTAATACGAAATAGGAAACGTGTCGAAAAGTTTGCCCCGCAGGACCAGTTTTGAACATATCTGGGCCTCGCGTGAGCAAACTTCTAGAAAGCTGTACTTTTTGAGTAAACTTAGGACTAAATTTGAGAGATTTTTGAAACTATGGAGCTGGGATATACTTTCCCTATTCATAAACATATGGTGACGTGGAACATCTATATGTCGGCTCATTGACGTGGCAGCAGCCAGGGCTTGCGCGTCTCCGTTTCGCTGGATTCCCGTCCCGAAGCCAGGCTCCTCGAGAATTCCAACCACACAAGACAACCAGGGAGCTCTCGGGAAAAGCAACTGCTGCCCGTGCGTAATCCCTCAAACTCGTCGACCAATTGAATGTTCACTAGCTTCACTTGCTGGCCTTCGCTGACCGCGGCGGTCATGCTGGGATATTCACGTTGCCACGCGGCGCAGGCTGACAAGCGGTTCCGCAAATTTCCTAGGAGGACGGAGGGGACTGGTTGAGCTATGCCATGTCGACCTTCAGGAATTTGCTAGCGCAGGCATTCGGGCAACATTGATGTTTGATCGAAAGCCGCAACTGGGCAGCCCGAAGCGTGCTACTAGAGTGAGCGAAGCTATGTTTGAATTGAAACCTGCCCCAGAAAGTAATCTCGAGGCCACGTCGTCCTGACTCCTCGCTTCCCCTTACCGCATCTGCTTCCCGTTTTTCCCATCACGCTTTCCTAAATATCGAAACCCATCCGACACAAACCTCCCTTTTCTAGTTTCTGTGCCTCGATTGTCGAGGTTTCTGCCAGTAACTCTTTCAGCTCAAGCTCCGTCCTTGTGCTCCGCATCCTCGGAGCTTACCTTACGTGGTATCAGTGAAAGGATTAGTTTGCAGAGAGGAGTTTCTGTGTGCTTCCAAACATCCGCCGGTCTTTACACACTCCGAAAGTTTGTCAATCGGGCTTCGCAAAAGAGGCTGTGCTGAAACCTTCTAGTGAAAGGTTCACCGTGGCTTCACGCCAATTAATTCTCCTCCACCGTCGCAGCCGCGCAGCGATGGCAGTCGCCTCATCCGCTGCGACCACGACGGCGATCGCTTCACGGGGAGCGTCCGCCGCATCACGGGGCCTTTCCCGCGCCGCCACCTCGATAGAAGCCACTCAGGCAGCACTGCTGGCCGCAAACAACGCCGCTACTCACGGCGCGCACGCTCCCGGCTCTTTCACCTGCCTGCAATGGTCGTCGACTCTCAGACGCCAATCGGGACGGGCAAGTCCCTTCTCTAGTTCATCTTTCTTCTCGGGCGGTCTTTCTCGGGACTCGTTGTTGTTATCATCGCACCCAAGCGGAGCTGCGTCGCGTCTCGCGTCTACTTTTTCCGCGCACGCGTCTTCTTCCGACTCCGCCGCGAGCGCAAGTCCTATCGGTTCCGCCTCCGCCCCCCGCTCCGCTGTCGCTGGCGCAACTCCCGCCGTCCGCCAGGGTGCAGTGCTGCCGACATCGGAGTACACTCTTGACGAGTCTTCTGAATCCTCGACGTCCGATTCCGAATCCGACGGCTCTGGTTCACGCGCGCTCGAGGCGCTGTACCAGGCGCGCGCCAAGAGCGGATCATCTGCGGGTTCAGGGGTTGGGCGGGAGTTTCCTCGGGGTTTAACATCCGATTCGGAAGCGGAGGTTTTTGATAGCGAGGATGAGGCGAGCAGCGACGAGGAGGGGGAGGTGGTGCTGGTTGACGTGTCCGATACTGACGTGGACAGGGATGAGCTGGCGATCGAGAGCCTCGGCCTCGCGACAATTCTTGAGCAGTCGCTGTTGAAGCGAGGAATCGCACGGCTCTTCCCCATTCAGGTATGACCTAAAGATGAGTCTGGGAATTCATCTTGATCCAGTTCTTCCGTCCCATGTTGGATCGTTATCATTCGTAGTATGCCCGTGTTTGTCTGCCTTTCATGAAATCGCGGCTAAGGGTTTGACGGGTTTTGAGTATAAGTTCCGTGCTCCGATAATCGCATCACGTGGTGTTTGCGCCATCATTAGAGGGGCGCCACATCACTGCGCGTGTCCGCTTGACTCTACCCTGTAACCTCTCTCATCCCTCCCACCCTTCCCTCTCTTTCCACCTTACCTGGTCCCCAACCCTTTCCCCTTATGCTCCGCCAATGGCAGCACGCGGTGCTGGCTCCGTCGATGGAGGGGCGCGACATTATCGCGCGCGCCAAGACGGGCACGGGGAAGACGCTGGCGTTCGGCATTCCCATCCTGGAGCGCATCACGCGCGAGATCGAGGAGAACAACGGCAGGTGCGTGGCTTGAATGTGTTAGCTGTTAGCCGTCTGAATGTGCGTTGTGAGTTTTTTTTTTGTTTTTTTTTTTTGTTATTTGTTTTTGCTTTTGTGTGTTTGTAACCTAGATTTGATTTTTTTTTCCTCTTTGTTTTCATTTCCTTTTCTGCCCTCTGTTCCAAGATGGCCGTCTCCGTCATAAGGCGGCTCACTAGTGCAGTCAGTGGATGAAACAGCGTGTGTTTACGTACTTGATTGGTTAAGAACTTTAGAAAGACGAAGAAGTTCACGTTTCATGTCGATTCGTTACAAAGATTCAGATCGTTCCAGATCGAAACGAACGTGTTGCCGGCTGATGAAAAAAACACCTCAGTTATGCAGAGTCACCAAAGATTGAGTCAAAGATGACCATCATCCCCTCCTCTCCTCGCGCACTCCTTTTCCAGCCTATCACTAACCTATGCTCCCTTCTTACCCCTCTCCCTCCCCGCTCTCCCCCGCTTCCCCTTTCCCCCCCAACCCCCCTCATCCCGTTCCGCACCCACAGGCGCCCGTTCCGCGCGCCCCGCTGCCTGGTCCTCGCGCCGACGCGCGAGCTAGCGAAGCAGGTCGAGCGCGAGTTCTGCGAGTCCGCGCCGAACCTCTCCACGGCGTGCGTGTACGGCGGCGTCTCAATCGACGCGCAGATGCGCCAGCTCAAGCGCGGCGTCGACGTGGTCGTGGGCACGCCCGGGCGCCTGATCGACCTGATCGAGCGCGGGACGCTGAGCCTGCGGGAGATCCAGTTCATGGTGCTGGACGAGGCGGATCAGATGCTGGCCGTTGGATTCGAGGAGGATGTGGAGCGGATCATGGAGAATTTGCCGGAAGGCGGGCGCATTCAGATGAGCCTGTTCTCCGCGACCATGCCGTCCTGGGTCAAGAAGCTCAGCCGCAAGTACCTCACCAGCCCGCTCACCATCGACTTGGTAAGCTGTTCTGTGCGGTGGGAGGGGGTTATAGTCGGTGGTGGGGGTCGTGAGTCAAGAAGCTCAGCCGGAAATACCTCACCAGCCCACTCACCATCGACTTGGTAAGCTGTTCTGTGCGGTGGGAGGGGGTTATAGTCGGTGGTGGGGGTCGTGGGTCAAGAAACTCAGCCGGAAGTATCTCACCAGCCCGCTCACCATCGACTTGATGGGCCCCCTCTCTCTCCTTCTCCTCCTCTTCCGTAGCAGTGTGAGGGAGTGAGTGAGGCAGAGTGAGGGAGTGAGTGAGGCAGAGTGAGGGAGTGAGTGAGGCAGAGTGAGGGAGTGAGTGAGGCAGTGTGAGGGAGTGAATGAGGGAGATTCAGTTTATGGTGCTGGACGAGGCGGATCAGATGCTAGCGGTGGGGTTCGAGGAGGATGAGGAGGATGAAGGGGAGGATGAGGAAGATGAAGGGGAGGATGAGGAGGATGAAGGGGAGGATGAGGAGGATGAAGGGGATGAGGGGGAGGATGAGGAGGAGAGGGTGAGGAGGGTGAGGAGGACGAGGAGGACGAGGAGAGGGCATTCGCCTGCTGTGCGTGTTCGCCCTCTTTGCGTTGGGCCACTGCTTACCCCGTTACTCACCCTCCCTTCTCCCCTAACCGACTCCCCTTCCCACATACCCACAGGTGGGCGAGCAGGAGGAGAAGCTCGCGGAGGGCATTCTCCTGCTGTGCGTGCGCAGGTCTACTGCTTGCCCC